TATGTAATTAAATGAACAGCTGTATATTTTTTTAAATTAATCTCCTGATATTTAATTATCAGGTTATCTGCTACTCTCCTAATACTGAAATAACATAATAAAATATGAAAGTCACAAATAGTTTTTACATAATAGAGAAATTATCTACTTCCCAAAGATAGAACAGAATTTATATTTACAAATAACACAACAATAAATGTGCACTTTTTTTGTGTTTACGTAGTAATTATTTGAAATATATTTTATAACCTGCTCTCCTATCTTAATCTTATAATCTGAAATGTAAAAAGAATGAATTTCGACCTTCTCACTCTGGTTAAAATATGTTTATCAGATGATACTGGCGGATCCCGAAATAGAAAAAATTATAATTAATTAATATAATGGTCTATATTTGTTTCTGTGAGTAAATTGAGCTAAACTCTTAGCTAAAGAATCAGAATGCGTACTCTTATTAAATTATAACGTATACACAGCTATAACGCGGCACACCTCAATACGCGGATTTCTTTGCCCGTTATAACGTTACGGCCGTAAGTTTGGACATCGTGTTAAATTATATAACACGAGATCGATAAAGGATATCAGTAGAGATAAGATAAGGCAACTAGACCAGAAGGCAACAGGACAAGAAGAAAGGAGCCTAGGCCGATCCATTAATGCCAGAGGAACTCGACTCCTGAGGACTCCTGCCAAATCCTTGAGGAGCGGCTCCCTTTGAGATGCTAATCCCATTGTAGAGAAGGATTAGCCTCCTTCCTCACGTCTTCTTTATTCCTCATCAGCTTCCTCGTGTCCTGCCGTCACCTCCTTGGCGCCAGCCAACGACACTTCGTTGAAGTCTCTCTTGCCCGAGACATCTTGAGCAAATAATATAATATTTTATTTCTTATGATAAAAGAACTCGATTTATCCTTAAAGGTCATATCCACAGGAAAAAAACCTTAGTTTAAGTCGGAATTAGGAATATTTAGTCTTAATCCAATAAGAACTAATTCCTATAATCGAAATCTGTATAACATTTATGGTTCATTATTACATTGGATGATAAATTTGTTAAAATATAATATTTTTTAGATATATCCTTATATGAGCCTTTCACTTGACAGAATGACTAACTCCAATTTCTATATTTTTTATTATTAATTATGTGATATTTCTAATTGGAAAATTTATACCTTTATTTACAGTTCTATATTCCAACACTGCAATCGCCTACTCTGGAATCAACTTACTTACCGTCTGTATAGTTATTATTAACTTTCCAATTAGAAATATCACTAAAATTACTTAACTCAAAAATGTTGAAATTTGAATTAGTCGTTCTGTCAACTCTTCTCTCACAGTTCTTTTAGATCAGGAAATGTGTTATTTGATATGTCTATAGTATGAAAATGGCGCATTCGATTCGACCCAAACTTGGAGGAAATTTTGAGAACAGTATAGATATTACTTAGTATCAATTTAATAATTCCATTTAATTATTACAATTAATGTAAATAATTATTAACAATATAATTGCTGTGAAATGTGGAAGGCACTGATCATGTGGAGTGAGAGTTAGGTTATTACAATATTGTTATGTGGTTATAAAATATTAGGTTTTATTCAGTTAATTTATACTTTATATACAAATTTACGTTACTGCCATGACACGTAAAAACGTGCGTCATTATGAACTACAGCGCCAAAACGGCAGTAACGATAGTAAAATAGTAAAATTTGTAATAACACTTTTTAAAAGTAATTAAATTACCAACAAAAAAAAAAAACATCATCGGAATCGAACCAATATTAGCGATGATACAGCTTATTCTTTTCAATGTAATATTACGGGTTCATACCTTGGTGTCAGTAAGGGATGAATGAGATAAAAAATAATTGAAACTATGAAAATCTGTTGCCTGCGTCACACAAGCTTCACTATTTCCTCTACTTTTAACAGAAATTATTGTTTGACAACATTAAGCTATGGCAAAAAGTTTTTAATGAGCAATATTAGAGGGTATTGAAATTTTTACACTGATCTACCTTAAGCCTGCTTACATTGTTTTATTTGATCAAATAAATCGTACTCAAAAATTTTCTTTGGTCAATTTTCAGGAAAATAAATCTAATTCAATTTTATTTGTTTCTTGATGGGCATATGTAAAGATATAAAAACTTTTCTGAAATAGATAGGAAAGTTGTGTGAGTGTACACCAGATTTTTTTCTTTTTTTTTTTTTTTTACAAAACTAGAGATAAATTTCAATTTTAACTTCGTATTTTTTTTTAGGAAACGTAGAACGTATATGGTAAATATCGATTACAGCTGATGAAGGAGTTGTATATTGAGCCGTCATTGCTTTAGCCTTCTGTTCCACCTCCAATTAGCGCCATTCCCGCCATTTGCACCTGTTTCAACCATTCCTCGAAAAGTTGTTGATTGGGCTAGTCTTTCTCTATTTCCGGCACGAATCGCGGCCTTCCCGATATCCTTCGGTGTCCACAAAAATTAATCGTTTTTCCTTCCCGAGAGATATGTAGCCCACTTTTTGCTTTTTCTTTTTTCCCTCTGATTTTTTTTTTCCTGTCCTCTTTCTCTTCTCTTCTCTTATTCCTGTTATGTTTTTCTTTCATTCCTGCCGAAGGATCCATTGAGAGAGAGACCTCCCGCTTGTCATTGATGGATACTACTACTTTATTAACAGCTGTGCCTCTCGGATGTCCTTAATGAAAACGTTGTCTCCGTTTAATTAATCGTATCTCGTTTCTTAACAAGATAAACAAACACCTGTATCCTTGAACGCTCCAAGATTTTTTTTTTCTATAAGTTTCGAGAAACGTAGTTCGCATTATTTAAAAATAAAAAAAAATGTAAACAAGGTACCCCCCTCTCACTAAAAAAAAATTTCTAAAGATTTTTTAATTAATATTTCACATTTCCTCGATTTCTAGGATCGAATTTAGAATTAGTACGTCCACTCTTGTAGAACTTCATTTTGTAATTTCTTCATTATTGCTCAGTGCCACTTTTTGAGGAATTTGGTTGTTTTCAATATTAGCCAGAGAACAGATATTTCTTTGAGATTAAATGTTGTATTCTCGGATTTATCATGATTTAGTATATTATTATACAATAAGAAAATATTGTTTTCAGATATTAACTTTATTTTAGTTTCATGTATAAGCTAGTTTTTTTATTTTATTTTTTTCTAAATTTAAAAAAAAAAATTTGTTGGCATTAGAGACCTTGTAGTTCTTTCACCGCATTAATCAGCTTTTTGGATAACTATGTAGGATATTATGTGTGTGTAAAACTTAACTGCAATTCACTAAAAAAATAAAAAATAAAAATGTAATGATATTATTTGTCAAGGTTTTGGATGAATTTACTATATATATATATGTATATATATATATATATATATATATATATATATATATATTTTACGAATACGGTGCATTTAAAACTATTGAAAGCAATGTCATAAAAACTTATTGTATACGATATTTTAGGTCGTTCGGTGTTATATACCTAGTTCTGCCATAAATACTGTTACAAAAGTTGAACTTTGTTTATATCCTTGGTTATCATTTCGATAATTCATACCTCGTATCAGGTTATTTTCTTTACATGGCAGGATAATAATCCCAATTAGTTTGTATTTTTCTTTCGCTCAATTAACATGGAACGGGGTGATTGTATATACCCGGTTTTGTACGAACCGAACAGCTATGATCTTCTTACATAATGCAGGTGAGAGATTTTCAACAATTTGAAACCTTTGGGTATCAGTCGGTCGTATGTTCGTGTACTGCAACCGGATGAGTGCATTTCGAAGAATAACAGGACAAAGGCTAACCACTTCCCTAAAAAAAATTAGAATGGATATATGCAAAGCGCTCCTTGGCGTTACACCAACGGTCTTCAGCGAAAGATTTTGTTTAGCGTTGAGAAAATGTTTGCAATCCAAGAAACATTAAATCGTTGAAACGGTCGTCTGTACGCACTCAACTCTAAAGAAGCCCAGAAAGTCATTGAAAGTGTGGAAAGAGTTCGTCACCCTTCGTCAGTGATGGTTTGGTGGGAAGTTTGCTTTGATGGCACCACAAAGCTCCATTTTTGTGAAAAAGAAGTTAAAACAGCCGCTGAAAACTATCAGGACGGTATTTTGGAACCTGTTGTAAAGCCTCTAAATGATACTCTGTTTGCTGAAAGTCATTGGGTTTTCCAGCAGGATTACGCTCCAGCTCACAAGGCCAGGTCAACTCAGCAGTGGCTGCAAAAGAACATTCCAGAGTTCACCTCTGCCTCGGATTGGCCCTCAGGAAGCCCTGATCTCAACCCACTAGATTATCGGTTTTGGTCGGAGCTGAAGAGGATGGCATGCCACTTGAGCACACCCTAACTTGGAAAGCCTCAATCAATCTCTGGTCCGAGCAGTTGAGCGCTTTCCTCAAGAAGTGCTGCGTCCTGCTATTGATGACTGGCCACTGAGGTTAAATGCCTGTGTCATGGCAAAAGTGGGACATTTTGAGTAATTTCTTTTTTGTTTTACTCTCTATAGATATACAGTCTATTCCATAATAAAGTTTTTGAAAAAAATAATTTTTCTGTTGAATTCTATATATATTTTATTGTAACAATATTTATGGCAGGACTAGGTAGTATATGTCGCCTAATCTATATTCCATGAGAAGATAATCTTCTCTGGAGTAGAATCCAATATGCTTAAAAGGTGCGAGTACCTTCTTTATCGTGTCTTCTATAATCTATATCTATATCTATATTTTATTAACGAAATGTTGTACAATCGTTTTGCTCTATAGTCCAGATTAGTTGACGTTTATGTATTGACTGTTCCGTTCTTTTGGGTGGTCACTCAACAACAATTGAGAAAACATATTCTTCATAACTTTATATTAATATAGGCTAACTATTATATATAATATATTAATATAACTATTATTTATAAAAAGTATGTTTTATTTTTATTTATTTCTTTATTAAATATACCGTTGCTATGTTGCAGAGGGATGTTCGCCTCAGTGCGGAGGTGCCGTAGCCTGGAGAGCGGGGAAGTCCTCGCTGCCAAGTTCTCCTCCAGGCTGCGCTACGGGGAGGATGCCACCAGGGAGATCCACCACGAGATAGCGCTTCTGTCGTTGTGTTCCCCGTCCCCGAGGATCATCAGGCTCCACGATGTCTTCCAGACCCCTCAGCAGTTCATTATAGTCATGGAATAGTGAGTAACATAGTAAATTGTACATAACAATATAACTAAGTAGTAATAACTGTACGTAACTCTAGTAGCTAGAATTGGAACAAGAAATCTCTCTCTGATTGAACGATTTGCGTATTAAAGTCAATGTAAATCAAAATGCAAAAACATCTATTTCGCCCTTACATATCATGTCCCCTAAACCTATCTACTCCATACCATTCTTCCTCTTTTCAGAAACAGTGTGGTAGTTTTGTTTTCTATTTCATTCGCGCTACAATCCTGGGTGGGTCTTGGCCTCTCCTTAATAATCCTCCACCATTTGCCTCTGTCCAGTGCTGCCGCCTTCCAGTAGATGATTCCTAGGATGCTTCTTGCGTCCGCTGCCACTCCGTCAGCTAGTGTTGCCCAAATGCGAGACTAAGACGAGTCTTGCGCACTCAGCCTCAGTCCTGGTCTTGATCTTGCGCCATAGTCTCGCAACATATTTTTCACTTACCTATTAGCATAATACCATAGGGATATTACTGTAATTTTTCAGGTCGTGGAAACTTAACTAAGCCCGAATGAAAAAGTGGAAGAGTTAAATGCAAAAATATATTGGTAATACCAACTCTTTGCCTATAGTAACTAAAATTGTCAAGTATTATTAACTGCTTTGCTTCACTTTTTATTCACAAAAACAATTTTTTTATGTCTTGGTCTTGGTCTTGCAACAGTTAGGCGGCCCTGGTCATGGTCTTGCAAAGTGCAGATTTTGGGCGAGACTACCTTCAGCCCACCTTAACATTCGTTTTCTAACTCTTTCGGTCCTATGAAGAACCTCTTCAGATACCTTCCTCGGGATTTCTTCTTCACTTATCCCAGCCACCGGACTAGTTGAGTCTCCCAAGCTTAATGGATCTGAACACGTCAGCATCCTTGTAGATTTGGTACGGCTCGCGGTTCTTCATAAACTCTCAATAGACAAATAATAAGCCGCAAGATTTTTCGTTCAAAAATCTTGGCTTTCTTTTAGACCAGGGGTTTCCAAACTTTCCAAAAAAAAAAAAAAACACATGCAATAAATGTTGTAGTGACCGGGAATGTGAGTAATTTTGATATTTTTTAAATTGTTTTTAAAATTTTACCAAGTAAATCTCATAAACTTTCGCTGGCTGGATTGGAGGTGCTTGCTTAGACAAATAACTAATATGGAACCCACATACATGACCTAAAAGACAATACCTTAGCTGACGATTAGACAAGTTATTTTAATTAATCTGCATTACCGTACTGTAATCCACTAAATTGAAATATGGGATAAAGCATCGTTTCCTGACATCAAATGTATCCAATCCGAAGTACTTCGAACAATAGTTAATGACCCAATCTATGTAACCAACTGAATCCTGCTTCATGAACTTAATATCCCATTTGTTCTAAACCTTATCCCACCAGGAAATTCACCACAACCTTACATATCATCCAAATCCTCTATCACAATAATTATCTAGCTCTGCTTATCCATGCAATCCTGCTCGAAGATTGAAATGATGGTATGACCTTTTGTAAGTATAGAATACTATTTTTGAGTTCTCTCGCTGAATCTCCACAGGGTTTATATATTTTTAAAACCAGTGACACGGTTGAGAGAGAAGCACTGAGATACCCTGAAGTCCTGCTTTTCCTCTGTGTGATTGTAACTAGCTGTGCATGTGGTTGAGATGTTTTTTTACTTTATCATTTACTTTATTTTATTATAATTTTATTTTACGTACACATTATATTTTAATTATTTTTTAGTCGTGTAATTCTTTTCTTATAATTATTTCTATTATTTATTTATATGTATGTTTTAGGTTCGGTGCCATTTTTTAAAATTTTTTTTTATAAAATATTAGGCCAAATGTACACAGTTTTCACATCATGTATTATTTATTCGATGTTTCGGCTTCAGGAGCCCTTTTCAAGATCCTGCAAACTAATTTTAATTCAGTTGTAATACTTCAAGCCACTAGCGGATACAGGATTTAATTTTGGGGGGGCTTCAGCCCGAAACCTTTTTTTTCATAAAAATAACGATAATTACTTTGGAAAAACAGAAAGAAACTAACTACCTATATGAAATGGTGTTTAAGTTATTTCTTAAGTACTTTTAAATGTAATTACACGAACAATAATACTTTAAGAGATATTTTTAAAAAAAAATTTCCCATAAAACATGGTTATATTTTTCCATTTTGGGGGGGGGGGGGGGCTTCAGCCCGAAAGCCTCCCCGTAGATCCGCCCGTGCTTCAAGCTACATCATTATAAAACAAATATTAATGTAAAATTTATCATATACCTACCATGCACCGCTTTGGTAACAACTAAATTAAAATACGTTTGTAGGATCTTGAAAATGGCTACTGAAGCTGAAACGTGGAATAAATATGAATATGAAAACAGTGTACATTTGGTGACCTTTGGCCTAATATTTCATAAAAAAAAATGTGTGTATATATATATATATATATATATATATATATATATATTGTGAATGAACTCTTTTCTCACTATTACTAACATCATATATTGCAATAGTATACTACTAAAAAAAAAACTTTGTACTTTGTGAGTTAATAACCTAACATAACATTTCGCTTGCACCATCTATTGTAAATAGATATATATAAATAGTAATATATATAAATATATATAATGGCCTACCGAACCGCTGCTTTCGATAAATCATTTATTATTCGATCCTCTTCCCTATGGAACTCCATCCCTCCCCTCATCCGTCAATCCAAAACCCTTCCTACCTTTAAATTCCAACTGTTTAATCATTTCTTATCCATCTAGTTCTCATCATAAAATTGTAAATAGTTACTACTGTAAATATTTATATAAATTATTAGATCGTTCTTTATTATTTTTACTTCATGTTTATTTTCAAATTTTTATTTTTATTATTAACTGATGTAAATTAGAAAGTAACTTATAATTTCTCTAAATATATATATATATATTTTTTTTTTACTATTCAATCAAACTATACTCTTGTTTATGTATCTCTGATAATCAAACTATACTCTTGTTTATGTATCTCTGAGGCTCTTTAGCCCACATTTTTGTTTCTCTGTATTATTCTAAAGGGAATCGTCCCAGAATAAATAAAGCATTATTATTATTATTACTATTATTATAAATTTATAAATTCAGAAGTATTTTTGGCATTTAAAATTATGTTGAAATTCAGCTGTTATTGGCAAAATTTTAATATATATATATATATAACTTAATTTTCATGGAATGATTTCACGCAGTCTAGGTTAATTTTTTATGCTGCATAGTATACCCAATGCGCCTTCCAGAGCCAAAAGAGATTTTGAATCCATTATCTAAACAGCGTGTTTGAAAAGTAAATATTTAATATTATATCTCTATCTCTCTGCTCATCATTTATTTATAAACAAATTTACTATATTCATAAAAAATAGCACTATAATACAAATAGATATGTGATATATTCGCTCATCTTGTTTAATTTATTTTTGTATTCATTATGTATTTTGTACTATTTTTTGGGGGATATTAAAATATATTGAATTGCAGCGCACCCGGTGGAGACATGCAGACCATCATCGACGATAACTTGGTACCCTACGAGAAGGATGTCATCAAGTTCGTCCAGGATGTCGTCGAAGCTCTCGCCTACCTCCACCACAGGAAGATCGCCCATCTGGATATCAAGGTAGGCACATTCATTAAATATAAATATATAAATTGTATCCAATATTATAAATTAAATTTGATAAATTCTCCTTGGCTGTAATAATGTTTGGCTTGAAATAATCAGAAAAAGAAAACGTCATCCAAAATTCTTGGTACCTTTTGAATCTTTTACGAAGAAAAGAAAGATTTTTTTTTAGTCTGGATTTCTTTTCTTTCTTCTCCCTTATTTGAAATTCCCGAATTTGAGGATACCCTGGGTAATCCTTATGGAAGCGCCTCCTGGAACTGGTTCCGAGGCTGCGGTAGGTGGTCGGGGTAAAAATAAGAAATCAGAATTTAATGCACTTCAAAGAAATAGAGGGCATGCTTCAAATATAAAGTGGGGTGTTCTGAATATAACAGTATTCATTTATTATATTCTAGTTGCTGTAGAGTCGAGTCAGGCCACTACATACCAATTATTTAAAGTATTTAATTGTTTAGAACTATAAAATTCAAAATAGGATTTTGATTAAAATCTTGAAGCCAAAAATACTTAAAAAAGCAAAAATACTACAAACTATAATGCACTGAAGGTATAGATGTAAGACAGTGAAGATAGTGCAACTTATATCCGTTTTCCAAAAACTTACCGTCCTACTATTTTTCTGTGGATAATTTATTACTGTTTGTATTGTAATCTAAATGTTTGTATTAATATATAAATAAACATAAAGTTTTTGTCTGTACATTGAATAGAATCATCCCGTTTCATAATATCTTTCCGTTTCATACATTGCAGACACCAAATCCACTTTTAAAATTGTTTTTGTCTGCCTGTATGTCCGCATTGTCCAACGAAATTTTGTCAGAGGTAAGCTCAGCAATGGCTAATGGTAGACTTTTGAAATGTTGACATTATATTTAGGTTTGCTTGACTTAAAACATAGACTTTAAATGAAAACAAAATATTGAGTAGAACCAAAATTATGAAGTATTGAGTAATTTGTCTAGAGACCCCGGTTTGGCAGTTAGTTACTTCGATTCTCATTCCAACATACTCTACCGCGAGCCACATTTAAAAGTTGTACTATTCAACTGATAGAAAATATGATCATAACTCAACGGGAAAAATCCGAAATCCCGAACACCTGTGACGCGTTGTCGCATAAAACACGGGTAAAAAAAACTACTTGTTCAACTTTGTCTGATCTTTCCGTTCAAGATATTATGCGATTCAACTCTCCGAGCCTAACTAATGTTGTCGTATACACATTTAGGATTAACCAAACGAATTGTCCGGAAATCTACAAATAAAACTGATGTAAATTTCACCCCATCCGCCACAATATTCAGATCAAGTTCTAATTTTACACGGTTGTAGGTGACTCAATTTCCAATGTTATTTTGTCAGCAATAAACTCAGCAGTGGCTAATGTTAAACTTTTGAAATTTTTACATGATATTTAGGTTTGTTTGACTTAAAACAGGCTTTGAGTAAAAACAAAATATTGAACAGAACCCAATTTTATGAAAGTAAATTTGGATCTCCCCCATAATACAAAATCCATCTCAAAAAAAGATTCTCAAGTTTTACCTATCACCCGTCAACGACGGGTACACCAGCTAGTTATAAATAGATGTATTATAATGTTTCGTTTTTATCAACTGTTTAAATATAACCTTCCTCTTCTGTGTTTGTGCGTTTCATTCAGTATAGGCAAGTTTCTGAACTAGTGAGCTCGTCGATGGGTATTGGATATCCATTATCAGTTCTTAAACTCATCGATGGATCAATAAATGGAACGTTCCTTTATTCATAAATTGAATCACCGAAAACTCATTTCAATCCGGCAAAAACATTCAAATTTTACAAGGATTGAAAGAAACCCTTTGCCTCGAACTCTCCACATACGGATATGCCTGCTGTATAATTATCCAAATGAACATGAAACTCCTATTCAGAGTCCAGATTTAAATCTCATCGTATATTTACGGGTCAAAAATCAAAATATAACGCCAGTAAAATATCTTAAAAATATATTATTTGAAGAATAGGGAAAAAATATCTTCACTATTTACTTCAAAGTTGATTCAATCAATGCCTAAATGGTACACAAAAACAAAGGAAAGCATTAAAAATATTAATTTAGAATTTTGAGTAGAATAAAAACGATAATTATTATTATCAAATATATCTATGTGTGAAATAGTTCGCTGCAATAAAATTTTTATTTTATACTTAAGTTTTTATTTAAAATATATATATGCGTAGCTTGATATCAAAGATGGACTTCTGTCATCTTTAAAAAGTGAAGAAAAAGGCAATTTCCTGTAAAGATAGCTTCCATTTTAAACCAATTCTCATACATTTTTTTCATGAGTTAACTTCAACATTTTTTAATAAAATTATCACAAAAATTTTGAGTTGAATCTATTAACAAAAATTAAGTTTTCCTCGATTTTCGAAAATGAAAGATGCACCTCTTTGATATCAAGGCACTCATATATTTAATGTTTGACAACTAATTTTGAGAAAATTGATAAGAGTGGTATTGGAGTTATGTTTAGGAGTTTAAATTAAAAAAGAAATACATGAAAGTATTGTTTTTACTTTATTTTTTTATTAGCTATCGTTCTATGTATATAAACTTTTGCTAGCCACTGTATATATTACTAATATATCATACCTCCATTGCGAGTCAAACACCTGCGCAGAACATACTACCATGAACCTTTGCTCTAATTCTTATCTCTTCAGAGAACTCTAAGGTGTGGTGTCTTTGCTATCTTTCTTGGAGATCTCTGTACACTCTGAACCCACACAGACAGGGAGCGATGGACGCGTACACTTCGGAGTCGTTTCACCTCTGGAGTATGTTATTCAAATCTATCGAGATAGCTGTTACTGATTTAAAAATGTTAAACATGCTACAAAATGATTTTATTTATATGTGATGAAGATAATAACGAGTCAAAGTAGGTTATTACAATGGATTTACATATTATTCATAACTTTTGTAACCTCACTACCGAAAGTAGGAAAGTTTTGTTAACGAGGTTAAACTTATTTATTCAGAATTATTGCAATCTGTCACAATTAAGGTCATTTATAATAGTGATCAGAGAGCACATTCACACTCTATTTACAATAAATAAATAATGCATAAAATGATAATAATAAAAGTAAATGTATACAAACTAAATGAAGCTAAACCAATCAAAATAACTACCCAAATACACACATGCTTCTATAGAATATCTAAAAAAATCGTTCTCCCAAGATCTCCGAGCCAAGCCTTTCTTCCCACTCGTGGAAGGAAAGGTAGGACTCTAAGAGAACCCAGCGCCTCTTACTTAGCCGCATTATTACTATTAAGGACTAGTAGAGGATGAGCACAGGTGCTATAATCACATATACATGAGTGGAGGAATCTGGCTTTTGCCAATACTCCAATATATATTTAATCACAAAAGGTCTCTGGATCACTGCTGCTTCAACGCATGGGTGGTGCTGGATAGGGATTATACAAGAGGATTTGGATGATGGGTAAGGTACTGGTGAAATTTGGAGATTTTTTCTATGATAAGGTCTTAGAAAAATGAGATATTAAGGTCCATGGTTTGGGGTTTTTGTTGGTTACATAGAATGGAGCATCAAATATTGTTCGAAGGACTTTAGATTGAATACGTTTGATGTTCATGTCCCATAGTTCAAGTCCGTATGTCCACATTGGTTTCAAGAATGTCTTGTAGATAAATAATTTGTTTTCAATAGAAAGTCTAGCTTTTCTGTTCATTAGTCTGTATAGTTGGCCATATCCTCGGTTGAGTTATTGTCTTTTAAGTCTACTATGTGGGTTCCATCTTAGTCCTCAGTCTAAAAGAAAATAGGGAGGTTAAAAAAAAAAATCTGCTCGCATTTTAAGTTTTAATGCCTTTGTTATTGTAAGTGTTTACTTAATGAATATCTTGCCCCGTAGGCCAAAATCCCTTTCGTTTAAGAGTCATTGAACAAGACAAACCTATCGGTAAAATTGTATCAACCCAGTATTGTACCAAATTGTACACGATGTGACCTTTTGTGTTGAGACAAAAGAACATGATCCGTTTCTTGTAATTCTTCTACTCATTAAGAGTGGAGTATAGAATACAGATCTAGTTAAGAACTACATGGGTACTTTGGCGATATTAACAACCAAGAAGATATTTCCACGAAACGTGTTTATTTTCATTTTAAAAAGTTTTTGTATTAATTTATGACCTCAGGACTATTCTCTTTTGGTATTTTTCCGATCTTCACTTTATGTGGTAGTACCCTTTACCCAAGCCACTAGCTGATCCAAGATATAGTTTTTGGGGAGGGCTTCAGGGCTGAAGATTATTATTATTTCGGGAGAAAGATTTTTTTTTCATACACAAATTACGATAATTAATTTTAAAAAAAAAAGAAATTAACTACCTTTATGAAATGGTGTTTAAGTGGTTCTTGAAGTTCTATTAAATGTAATTACAGGAACAAGAATAAATTAAGAGATAGTTTTTAATATTTTTTTCTGTAAAACATGTTTATATTTTACCATTTTGGGGAGAGGCTTCAGTCCAAAATCTCCTCCTCCCCCGGTAGATCCGCCTGTGACCCAAGCCCTCAAAAGCGATGGATTTGGACGAACGAGTATTTTTGAACCAGAAATTCTTTGGAACTTACTTTTAATTCTTTGGAACTTCTTTTGAAACTCTATAAAGTTAATTATTAAATTTCCTATACAGTTAATTATATAACATTAGCGGCTATGACGCCATGGGATATTTATCACAATTTATTTTTTGCAGCACACTATGCATGCACAGATGGCATAGAATTATAATACCCTTTTCTCTTTTCAAAAGAAGTTATTCGAGGGTACGGTCAAAAAATATTATATAATATAATAACTTTTTCCTCCTATTTTCGGTTTACATTTTTCTAGAGAGTACTGTTTGATAATTGAAGTTTCGTTATAATTAACTACTGTAATATTCCCTATTGCCTTACTTTTT